GTCTTTTAGGACACCAGACTTTTTCGCTACACTTGAAATCTGCAAGTATTAAACTCCTCCAGGGCATGGCTTTTATCCCACTCAAAACCTATAAAATATTGTGGCTTACATAAATGACATTTGTGTTCTACTTACAAGTCACAACTTCAGTTAACGTAAGGGCCAAGGAATGACTGATAAAGTAAGGAGGGGGAAGTAGTCACTCCTCTATTCACTCCCTCCTACAATCTCCAGAGACTTCATGTAACTGTTGTATTCCTCTCTTTTTTTCATTCTCAATCTTTGCCTGTTTCTTTTTCACTTGGATTGTTTTTCCTTTGTTTTCTTTCCTCTTTCATTATTTTCACGCTTTTACTCTTTCCAATTTTTTCATGTTTTTCTTCCTCTAGTTTATTGTCCATCTTACTCATTCTATCTTATGTATGGTATAGTATGGCCAATTTTCGGCCTTCTGCAATCTGCTATTGACAACATTGTTCTTTGTCCATTTGGAAACCTTTATCAATGAATACTTCAATTGTTAATACTTGCTATGTGGAATCTCATCATAAGCAACAAAAGCCTCAGACAACAGAAGCTCCAGCTGACATCTCTTGCCACAAAAACTATAGAAATAGCTGAACTTAAAGAAACTACATTTTTCATTCTCTGACAAGCTTTTCCACCCCCAATAGTGTTAAATAATTCCCAGTCAAGCACCTGGTGGTGTGGTCTTGATCACAAATTCTGTCCATGAGATTCAAAGCCATGCATTGCAGGTAAGTTCATTCATATACATTGTCAATTGAACCACACCTAGTGGTTAACTAAAACAAATGTGTTAAAGCCAAATACCCCTTCACAGTTATAAGAAGAAAACTAGGTTGACACAAAGCAACCATTAAATAACAGCAAGGTATATGAGAATACAAATACACATTAGCTTTCTTCAATAATCTTTTTCAGTATATTTGTGTCCAGCACAATTTTTGTCTGTAAATTTACGACAATAAAAAAATACCATTACAAATTAGATTGAAAATAAATATGAAATAGTATAATACTTACTGCCGCTAGATTCTAGCACCAATGCAAAAACATCCACAGTTGTCTTGGGGAAACTTTCCAGTATTATTGCACCTTCCAAAGCTTTATTAAGCATCGCACTGTACTCTTTGTGGTCTGAACCCTAGCTTCGTGAGATTTAACATATTAGAAGTCACTTCAAATAGCCATGAAGATGGAGAAAACAGAAAAAGTTACACAGCCTTTATATACCTGCCCTCGTACTGGAGTTGCAAACGTTGTAAAGCTCACATTGCAATTCAAGCGCCCTATATCACTGTACATCATTGCCTTCTTGCTCTCTCTTGGCCCAAATCTATATTAAAAATTATAAATAAAATACCCACATTAGGGAGAGCATAACAAACAACAAAGTCAGAAAAAAAAAACCTCGACAAGCTAACTGACATTTTTAAGACAAAGAGCCACTCACACAGATACAATGACCTTGGTATTTCCAAACTCAGCATATGCAGATCCAGATGCTGCATTCACAGCACCAGTCCTGAAAACTGCAAGTCGCAAAATATCAATGTTCATATTAAAATACCAGATCAACTAATCAACATATCAATAAATATAAGTTGATTCTTTCTTAATGTTGATTTCAATGATCAGAAGTTAATTAGTCTTCTGTTAGATTATTAGTTATCAGTTTTAATGACAGTTAGAGTTGCTCTACTTCATTTGCATCGATGTACCTCATTGTGTAAATAAACTCTATTGATGAATCAAAATGTGTTCATTTACAATACCAAGTTCTTTTAGCGCAGTATCATATTCTACATCCATCGTTGTCCCGTTTGCCATATTATCCATGAACCAAGACCAATAAGTGTACGATGTGAAGGTGCGTATTTGGAAAAAACTAAACCCCACATTGATTAGAAATAGTATTTGATAAGAGCATATTAAGCAATACACATCCCTCACCTTAGCCAGCTTAGAGGGTTGAGTTAGGCAATCTATCCAGTCCTAACAGCACAATCTACAACATGAAGAATCTAAATCTCAATCCCCATCCCTTTTCCAAGAGCCGCACACATAGCATGAGAAATAGGAGTTCCTCTTTCACAATAATTCCATGCCATATATTATTAATATCAGGTTGGACAGATGCAGGTACTACTATCCTAATGACTGGACTGGATCAAGGTGTTTGGAAAGGAACCACCACTATCAATACCCTGGATCAATTACCAGGATCCCAGGCCCGGGGAGTAGGCAGAACCCCTGGAACAGGAGGAGATGACACTTTCCAGTTTGGATCCATACTACTTTTAGAGCAAAGACCCTAAAAGTTGTGGTGCATGCCCTCTGTTGACATCAGATAAGAGGTTGAAGATCTTGAGGACCAAAAGGTCCCATCGGGACATGAGGTTCAAGGTGACAATTGTCCAGAAAAATTAGCTGGTACCACAGGACAACTACGACCAAATACATCTGTTCTTAGTAGAAATGAGTGATGATTAACAAATTCATCAGGTATAGAAACTTTATTTCCAGCACAAAACCCAAGGTAATCTTTGCCATGTGCAAGTGACTGCATGAATACATAATCTTACTCTAGATTCAACAAATGAAGCATGCATGCAGGAACACTCTTGGTTCTCTACATTTCAAATCATGCCATTGTGGAGCATTGATTGTCAATTTGAAAAGAATTAGGTAAACCTATTAAAAAAAATTTACTGTGTTCACGGTCCTCCAAAAAGCGTCATTTTAATCCCTAAACCGCATTTATTCAAACAGTTCGGCGTCAGAAATCACTATAAACGCCCGTGTATGAAAACCTTATTAGTTGGCAGAAGAAAACAAAAAGTAACGTCCATTTAATAACAAAATACATACTAATAGATAATGGAGAAGCATACTGAGATCGTCATTGCATGGGGACAAAAGAGACAGCAAAGTTGTATTTGAAAGCAAGTAGAACTTACATGCAGGTCTGCACTGGTGGAAACCTCGGCCATCGGGCCGAACCCAATCTTCCTTGAAAAACGGTGGTTTCTTTTTATCGGCTGTCAGAGATGGCGAGTATGTCGCCGGAGTAGCTCCACCTTTGCCGGCCATTTTCAACCACGGCAAACACTGTACCTTTCTTTACCTCTTGTTACTTTCATTTCTTGATGCTATTTATATAGGGTACATGGAAGACTTCGTTCAAGAATCACATTAAGGAACTGTTGTTTCTTGGACTGGGCCTCTCACTTTCAAGCCCATCAATTTGAAGAAAGGTCTTTGCTTTCTCACCCCATAATTACTTCTTGTTCCTTCCATTATAGTAAAACTATCAAAATGATTTTTTAAATTATATTCTTTACATAAGTGAAAATACATGTGTATATTTACAAAATCATTATTATAATCTATATTATAACAATAAATATAATTCTATTTTTTGTGTACATATTTTATTTTCAATAATAATAATAATAATAATAATTTTATTACTTTTTATTATTATAAAAAAATAACACACATGTGCATGTGTTTTTCTTAATTATACAATAAAATATTTTCAATTTTTATAAACAATTTAATTAGATAACAGAACCTACAATACAAAAATAAAAAGGATAAAAGATATACATGAAAAAAAAAAACAGTTACAAAATCCAATCTTCATTATTAATTGTTATTGATTAAAAAAATTCTCAATTAATATTAAAATATTTCAAAATAAAAATAATTTATTACTACGGAGTAACAATTTTAGAAAAAAGGTGTTATATAAACAATTTCAACAATTTAAATTTATTTTTGTTATTACATAATCGAAAGTTGTGAGAATGTTGAAAGAAAAAAAAAATTACCACAAAACATATTTGGCTAGAAACAAATGAAATGTCAACATATTTCATGGAACTCTAATTTTATAAATGTTAAATTAAAGCAAAATTCAAGAAGAACATAAGAAATAATATAGAGGAATATAAAGCAAAAATTTATACCATTATATGGAAGATCTCTTTTGGTGTATATATTTTCCTTTTCATTTTATTTTTTAAATAACAAATTTTTAAATTAAAATAATTACATTAACAATTTTATCCTTTACATATTTTTTAAAATTTAAATATTTTTTATTTGATTATTTTTAACCACTATTTAAATTTAAAATTACTATCTATAATAAAACTTATTTATTTTTATTTTTATAATTATAATAAAAAAATTATTATTTTTATTATAAGAAAAATAATACACATCTATATAATTATACAGAGATGATGGTCTCTTTTTTTCTATCTTTTAAATAACAGTTTTTTAAATTAAAATAATTACATTAACAATTTTATATTTTACATGATTTTATTAAAATTTAAATATTTTTTTCTAAATTTGATCATATTTTGAACTTAACCATTTTTTAAAACTAAAATAATTACTTATAACACAAAATTTTCTAACAAAAATAAATAAAAAAATTATAATAAAATTATAAAAATTGTTTATTTTTTATTTTTATAATAATAAAAAAAATTATTATAAAAAAATAAATACATATGTGTTTTAACTAGAATAAGATAAATAAAAAAATATAATAAAAATTATTATTGTTTATTTGAAGAAAATTTTTACAAAAGAATTTATTAAAAATTCCTTACTCCGTATTTTTAGAAAAATAAATATTAAATTTTGAATGATGTGCGAGGAATTTTTACAAAGATAAAACATAATTAATTTACTTTTATATAAACAGATATAAACAAGTATAACATGGATATACTTTTTCTCTTTACCATTGTGATCTCATAATCTATCACTTATTATATACAAAGTTTGAATAAATGACTCTCTAATTTCTCAGAACATGAGTATTGAGAGACTTGTGATTTTTGTACATTAGATATTCTAATTTCTTCAGACCTAGAAATATAAGTATTGACATTATGATTTGTACATTGAATATTCTAATTTTTTCAGACCTATAAATATGAGTATTGACAGCTATGATTTGTACATTAATTAGATACAGATTGTGAAGTATATAACCATAAGAAAGTTTGGTAGACAATTATGCAGTTGGGTAAGAAGCTAGCATTGCTATGCCACACAAGCCTTCTTTAGAAGCAACATCCCTTTGCATCCGAATATATCCTTTTTCTCCCCACTTCACTCCCCATGAATTCTTCACCAACCAATACTTAGTTCCATCATCACTCACTCCATACCCCACAGCAGTCACACCATGATCCAAGTTAGTGTCACATGATCCATTGAACACACCACTTGAATAAAACTGAAACTCATATCCACTGGCATCAATAGCTACTGAGACTGGTTGATTAGCAACAGCTTTCAGCAATGCACTCTCACTGTTGGCAGGCACATCCTCGTACCCCTTTATGGTAGCTGCGTGGCTGCTTTCTGCTTTTACATTACAGATTCCATCAATTCCCTCATAAGGGTATGCAGCTTCTGTGGTAAGTCCTTTGTTTTGCAGGATGAATTTGAAGGCATCGTCCATTAAACCTCCTTCACATCCTTCGTCCTCACCCTTTGTGTCACAGTCAATAAGTTCTTGTTCTGATAAAGAGATCAGTTTGCCCGTGGTCAGCTTGGTGATTCCTTCTGTTGCTGCAACAGCAGAAAATGCCCAACAAGATCCTAAACACAAAAATACAAGGAAAAGTTACACACACAAAACGTTTTGCTTAGATAAATATATCAACATGTTTTCATTTAAGTTGTCGAAGAGCTTTAAGAAATGGTTTTTAAATCTAATTAAACCATACAAAATGGGTTTATACTTTGATGTTTGCACTTATTAATTATATAATGTAAATTTGGATTTACATTTATATATTATGAATTGATTTTATCTTTAATTCACATAAAATTTCTAACAAAAATTTAAAACAAGTATAAAATACTTATAATTAAAATTCAAATAGTTATCAATCCAAAAAGACATATATGTACATACCACATTGTCCTTGGTTCTTAATGGGTGTAACAGCTCCTTTCTGTCTCCAATCCAATGAAGTTGGCACTGCTGTCACATGTTCATACTTAAAAGAGGGTGTTCTTGTTATCTTAGAACACATATGACCCTTGAATCTATTTCTGGCTTTGAATTCCTCATTTGTGAGATCAGCAAATTGGTTTATGCCAAGCTTGTAAGGCTTGTTTCCAGCATTGTTAGATGCCTCAATGCGTTGCACGTTTTCCTTGAATACTTGGTATTTCTGCTCTTTCTCGTAAGAGTCCAAGTAAAGTTTTCCATGTGTAATCATCCACTGTTCGTGCATTTCACGCATTGAGGCATCTTGGAGAGTGCGAGCATTGGCCTCCAAAACACAAAATGCAAAAGCAAAAAACAGCAAAACCAAAGTGCTATGGAACAGTGTTTTGAAGGCCATGACAGTTGAATGATTATGGAAAACTTCACTGCTTTTGTGAGAAACTTAAGTTGTGAGATATGCATATTTATACAGACATATTTTTGGAAACTGATATGTGTTCTTAACAAGACATGCACTTAGATGTGCCTCAGAAAATTTTCTGACTACGACCCATAAACATGAATCATTGATATTAAAGTTTCAACTTCATACGTAATTATATATCAGAATCAATAATTGTTCAAGAAAGGAAAATATTTTGGAAGTGTATATTCGTACAAATTGCTGAGACGTATTTGGGTGGAATTCTAATAGAAGTCATGTCAAGAGCTATTTAAACAAATCCATTGTATATTATATATGATATATAAAGGATCAGATTCGAGTTGAAATATCATTTACTAATTTTATTATTTTAGTCATTTAAATACACTTCTATCTATTGTTCTCTTTTTAACAAATCTTAACCATATCATCGTGATCACAAATTAATAACATTAAATTAAAACTTTATACTATACCATTTTGAGTAACTTTTAAAAGTGTCGTCCTTACTTCACTAAAACTTTGATACTATTATTATATTAAAAGTTAATAACAAAGGGTACAGTAATATTATGTTGATATTGTTGTCTATAAATAATCTACCCAATTTAAAAAATGTGGTCAAAGAAAAAAATATCACAGCACGATCAATTTTAGTTTATACCATAGAAAAGTAGAGAGTTTTTACCACTCTCTAAAATTATTTCATTATAGAATTATAATAATAGTGTAAGTTTTAAAAGAAATTTGAGTTTAAACAATTCATGCCAACACACGACTTCAAAACAAAGAATTTGTCATTAAAACGATTTTATTGTAAATAAATTAAGGTTTCATCATTCCCCAGATCTCTATTTAGGGTGAAAATCTCAAATTGGTCTTTCTTTTTTTGCATCTTAATTCTTATTTTGTGAAAGTTGTAACAATTATATTTCTGCCGTTAGATTAATTCCAATGGCGTTAATGTAAGGTTAACATGACATGATGATCCTCGTTTTTAAATGACGTGGAGTTTCTTATTTAATGTATGTGATTATGATGAGTTTTTTTTTTAGTAATAGAAATTGGTAAAAATGAATTAAACATTAAAGTGAATACTTTGTTCGAATTAAGGATTGGGAAAAAGGAAGTTTGATTTTAGGATTCATACAAATTGAGAATTAATTTCAGAAATTGTTCTCAATGATGCTTCTATCTTCGGCTCAACTTCTGATGCTGGTTCAGACAAGATAATATTTTTCTTTTCTTTTTTAGATGAAGATGATGCACGAGTTATATCTGAAATCATAATAAGAAATTAACACATACGGCAAAATTGTAACAGCTAGAATTGCCTCTGAAATTATTTTCTTAAAGAAGATATAAAGAAAGACACTTTTGGTTGATTTTACATGGAATCGTTGATATTAGTTCATAGAAGGTGAACGTATGACTAAAACAAAAGGTCCATAACCTGAACAAAGGGTAAAGTATATGCCAAAAGAATTTCTTCTGTGAGAGGTAAGAGAAATTTTTTTCTCTGCAATGACAAAAGTCCCATGAAAAAGATGAATCGCGCTCAAGTCGCGAGACCAATTCGCGAAGCCAGTGTCAACCTGTAGAAAACAATATCGCAGACTAGTAGAAACTCTAGAATTCCAAATCGTGCCACCATCACGATTTAACCTGCTAAACTCTCGTGCATCCAAAACCCTAAAACCAAATCCCATTTTTTTATGATTGATTCCCAAATTTCTGTTGTGATTGAACCCTAAAACCAAATTTTAATTTCTCTGATTGATTCCCAAATTTCTGTGATTGAATCCTAAAACTAAATTTTAATTTCTCTGATTGATTCCCAAATTTCTCTGATTGAACTCTAAAACCAAATCTTCAATTTCTCTTGATTTTCAAGTTTGTGTAATGAACTTTTTCTAATTTTTTAATTTAAAAAAAAAGATATAATTTCACATCAAACTTTCCTATTAGTAAATAACACAAGTCATCATACCATTTAAAATAGAAGATCAACATGTCACGTCAACCTTACATTAATATTATTCGACCCAATTTTTTAAAGGTTTAATTATTGCAATTGAGATTTTGACCCAACAAGAACATCACGAATAATTAAACTATAAATTAAAGTCATACCAAGTGTCATAACAATTTTTTGTAAAAATATTTAAGTAATATTTTCATATACTGAGACAATTTAGTTTTATGACTTTAATTATGTAATAAAATAATCTGAAGTTTGTAATATTGTGATAACTTTAATTTTATAATAATTTTAGTTTATTTTATTATAAAAGTATGAAGTTGTCAACTGCATGTTATTTTATTATTATCGTCATATGCCTTCAATTTATTTCATTACAAAACTAAAATTCATAATACCATTTCATTACAAATATGACACGATTTCAATTAAATCCGTATTGAAATTGTTTCAATTTTTGTTTTTAAGTCTTGACATGACTTTGTAAACTTGAAATTCTTTTAAGACTTTTGTAATTTTATTACACGTAAAAGAAAGGTCGAAAAAGTAGAAGTTTATGTCATATTCTTTTCAAATATATATATATATATATATATATACTTTTTACATTTTGTTTTGATTTGAGTTGCAATTTTTTTTATTTGATAATTTCGTAGGATGTAGTATATATGTAAGTAACAATGTGAACACATATATCATCTGCATTGAATACTATAAGAGAAAGTTTGACATTTATAGAGATGTTGCTTACTTTAAACAAGATTCCTCGGGTTTATAAATTGTGGTCTCTACCATCAAACCAACATAGACTTTTAGAGTAATAATTTATCGACACAAAAAGGTGCATTAATACCTATATATATTTGAAGAGAAACAAAAATAATATGTTTATAGGTTGTGTAATGTGATAAAAGAAAAAATAAATATGTAATAGGTGCAGATAAAATAAAAGAATCCATAAATAATTTTCCCAAACTTTATTTTGTAAAACCATACTAATTTAACATCAATAATTTTTTGTAATATTATTATCATTTTTCCAATATAGAGTTTAGATTATATATATATATATATATATATATATATATATAAAAGACTCGTATAAAGTGGTCTTATCCAAATTATCAGCATGAGTACAAAAGAAGTGAGCAATTTCAAATTTATATGCTTCTTAACCCACATATTTGCTTGCTAATTTACAAAAAATTTAGTGATTGGATTAAAGTTTTCAATCCATCATTTGGTCCATTCTCTTTAACTCATCAAACTAGTACACTGAAGATAAGATTGGCCTGTTTTCTTAAATTAAAAATTAAAATACAAAACAATTTAAAATACAAACATTTATATATTATATTGTCAAAACGAATAACTTAGTTCGATCCGATTCGGTCACCACGGGTTGGTCATTTAGTGAGTTAACTCAACCCGACTCAGTTATTAGCAAGTTGAACAAATTTGATCTCGGCTCGACCTACAACATGTTGGTGAGTTAAATGTGTTGGTTTACTCGTTCATTTACTTATAAGTTATTTTTAAAATAAAAAAGTTACAATTTGTTTTAATTCAAATATAAATAAACGTCACACTAAAAAAATGATATTAAACTACAAAGACAATTCAAAATAAAAAAATATCATACAATCTAAGCTTAATCCAAAAACATGTACAAAAAACAAACAAATAAATTTTTAATATTGATAATTTTTGTATCACTTGTCTATTTATAATATTAGAGTCTTGAATAAATAAATCTATAATATTTGTCTCTCGAAACATTTTCTTCTTTGTCACCATCTACAATATAATAAAAAAAATACTAATAATATTGAAACACAAAATAATAAATAATTAAATTAAATTAGGTGGATTGGTGAGCCAACCTTGCGGGTTCAACCCTGTTGAAAACTAGCCCGCATAAAAAAATTACATTTTTTTTAAACCCAACCCGACTCAAACCCGTGGTGAGCCGGACTGACTCGCGAGTTACAATCCATTTTGACAGCACTAATATTATTTAAATACGTAAATATGTAATGTTATTATAATTTAAATTATTAATACCTATAAATTAAATTTTAATTATTATTTATAAAAGAATAATTTAACATATAAATAAGATGATTATTTTAATTTATTAATTAAAGACATTAATTAATCTCTAAATCCTAAATATTAATTAATCAATTAAAAATCTTAAAACATATTTATATAATTAAATATACTTAGAAAGTATTTGTATAACTAAATATATTTTTAATATTGATCATACAAAATTATTGGATTGAAAATATAAGAAGAAAGGAATCTAATTGTATATGTTTGATATGATTGTGTGATGGATTGAAAATAAAGATCCGTCTAAGATACTAATATTATAGCAAGAGTCAAAGTTTCTTCAAAATATGATTACTTCTACGTTTATAACTTCTAACTAACACTCAACAATCAACAAATATTGTTTTCATCATAAATCATTCACATGCACACTCATTATCACAGACGCCACCGCTAACTCACCCTTTCAAAAACAACACGCTTTCTGCATAAGACACTATTATTTATTCATTCATCTCAGAAAAAACTATACAAATCATTCCATTTGAGTAGCAGCTACTATCTTCTATTTCACATTTTAAATAAACACAAAAAAAAAAACAAAGATTCAAAATTCAATCTTTATTTTACCTCTTAATCAACTGTCAGTGGTGCATTGAAGGAAATGCTCATCAGTAGGAAAGGCAAAACAATTTTGTGTTATTTGGGTGCCCTTAATTTTAAGGGGTTTAGATGCCCTGGTGTAACCCATAAAAATGTGCCAGACATAAAGTTAAGATTCAAATCACGGATTGAAATTCAAATGAGGGATGGCATGGTACACAAGGGCAAATTGGGAAATGATTTTGTGTGTTTTCGGAGATAATATATTAAAGTGTTGGATGTGTTTATTTGATAGGACCTTGATGACATTATTTTTATAACTACCATGATATCTTTCAAATAAAACAATACTTTTGTTACCATTTTTACACTAAAGATGTTAATATTTTTTTAGTATTAAGATATCATAATTTAAAGATGATATTGTTATATCAAAGAAAGTATGTATGGGATATTTTGAAGAGAATTTGATTGATGAATTTAAAATCACTTAACACACCCACGAATTCTAATACTAAACTCCTACTAAATTAAGGAAAACCTATTTCAAATCTTAAGCAATATAGAAGACTGATTGAGAAATTAAATTATCTTACATCTACTCGTATTAACATTTCCTTTACCGTCAATGTGATGAATCAATTTCTCAATTCTCCATGTGAAGATTATTCGAATGTAGTCATATGTATATTAAAGTACATTAAAGGATATCTTGAAAAAAGTTTGTGATATGATTCCAATAACTATACAAAAATTGTTTGTTATTAAGATACTGATTGAGAATGATCTCCTTTTGATAAAAGATCTACTTTCAAATATTGTGTTTCCATTAGTGGTAACTTGATCTCTTAGAAGAGTAAGAAAAAATGTCTTTGTTGGATATAAAACCAACAACAAGTGCACCAGCTCTAGTAAGTGATAAATATCGTTATCTCCCAAGAGACTTGTGCAACACTTAACAATTCTAACAATTCACAACTCAATTAGACATAAGAATAACAAAACCACAAAAAAATCTTTTTTTATTTTTATCAAAGAATTGGTGTGGAATGAAATGTAATATAAAATATTTACAATTACGAAAGGAAAGTTATGACTACCAAAATGACCCATATGTATTATCCAATCTGGAAAGGTGTAGTACATGTTATGTTATGTGATCTTTAAGTTGCTTTTTACCCTTTTTGAACTGTTCAAGAATGTAATTGTTTCTCAAAATATGATATATTATTATTGTGTGTGTTTGGTACGTACGTGAAAAGACTTTCTTGAATGGGTTTGAGTTTGGATTTTCATATTCATATGGAATTCAAATACAACAAAAGATTCTAGAAAGGAAGATATATGTGCTATTAAGTTATAAAACAGGTATCAAACTCAAACACTGCGAATAACATTAACAACTCAAATGTAACTAAAATGAGAAAATGTAGTTGTCCTTTCAAAATTGGTGAAAAACTAGTTTCTAAAAATGAAAAATAAATTAACCATGAAACATAGGTTTAACTCCCAAGATGCTACATATAATGTCTAAATGTAATATTATACTAATTATATTTTTGTGTCAAATTGCAAGCAACATGATATCATGAGCATTTTCTAAATTTTTGTCAGACACAATTGGATCTTCCTGGCTCTCTCATACGTACTAAAATAGTAGGTCTTTATTTTTCAAAAATGAATTACAAAATACTTAATTTGATTTACAATAATATAACAAAATACAATGTTTTCAAATTATATAATTCATAACAAGGTTTCAAAAATTCTTACCAAAACCTTAAAAGTTAACTCATTTAGTTTGGATTGGTGAATTTGAAATATATTTCTAAATTTTGCAATCCAAATCCTTTTCAAAACAATTGAAATGCTATGGAAGCCTAAAAACTCATCTGACTGAGAATGAAGAGCTTGACAGCAGCATGTTTTGATATTTTGAGGAACATTTACGGATTTTGTTACTCGGATTTTGCAACTTACTTTACCAACAATACTTTAACCTGTTTCAGGACTTGGGTATATTTATGTAAGAATTTTGTAAAATTAGTTATTTTTAAATATCATATGTACTTCCTAAGAGACACTATTATTTCCTAAACTACTATCCACTTTAGTTATTTGACATTATTATTATTATTATTATTATTATTATTATTATTATTATTATTATTATTATATAATATTAAAAATAATTAAGTATCTTCATGTTCAATTTTATCTAAAGTTAATAACATGGATAAACAGCATATTTTTGCTTCCTTTATAGCTTTTTGTTCCCAAAAACAAAAAAGATAAAGTAAAATATTACAGTTGTATTTTTTATTTATCTTTTATTGAATAAATTAAGTCTATATAGTTGAAGAAATTGTATCATAAGTATTTTATTAATTTTAAACAACTTATTTTATAAGTAATTAAAGAGGTGCTTTACTTTTACACCAAAGTCTTAAACAATATGGTTATAAAAATTATTTATATTTACATTTACGTATACATACGATCTACACTCGTATAAGTAAATAAAGAAGTTAATATTTTAATATAAAAAAGATAAGCTTAATGTCCCTTTACGTATCTCACATGACTAAATATAGGATTAAATTATACAGTATAGATAGATGTCAATTTCAACTAGCTGTTTGTGTTAAATTAAATTAGACTTAAATTCTACACTTTTAAAACATCATAACTATTTAAAATCTATTTTCTTAGGTTATACATAATTTTATTTAAGTAAAATACAATCTACACCTATTTATATACTATAATTTAATGTGATAAAATAAAGTTTACATCTATTTATATATTATAATTAATAATAAATAGATACTGATAATTAAAATTGGGGTATACGAAATAGATAGAACTAGTTATTTTTTTTTAATTATATTTATAATCAATTTCTAAAGATTAATTTCTAATCATGATTTAAAAATCTAGAATCTGATTAACTTGGATTATATTATCTATAAAAATTCACAACCAAATATTTATAAAGAGAAGAGCTAATGTTATAAAAAATATAAATCAAAAGATGAAAAAAAAAGTTAAAATCAAAAAGTAAGATGCCAAAAAATCCTTAAATCAAGTATAGACCTGAATCAAGGTTTCAACAAATCTACAAAGAAAGCGTGCACGAGAGAATTGAAATGGAGAAAAAAATGAAGATAAACTTTTTATTCAACTCAAAGGTGTGCTTACAAAAGCATGACTTACGTATTTATAGAAGAACAAACAACTTATAATTAAAGCCTAAACAAATCTTAATGACTGCTAATTCCAATAAAAAGATAAACTATTCATCCTAATGATGAGAAAAATAGTATTCTTCTTACCCTAATGGTGGGATAAGGCAAAAAAAATCCTGAAAAGATAAAACTTTGTCATGGATGCCTTCATTTTATTCGAGACTTCAGTTAAACAAATCTTGGTGTTTTCATGGAAGTTTTAAACCATTTTGTTCTTCAAATTTGGACACTGACTTTGTGCCAGCGTCGATCCAACTTCTACAGCTTAAGATATAAAAATATTGCACCTAGACGGCATCAACTTCCTGACCACTTTGCCCTTCAACCCATATGAATTAGTTAAACTCATGAGACATGAAAATACAGATCTTATATTTTTGAAGGACACATTGTTTCAACAAGATTTCTGTAGATCCAAATATTCCCTGTAGAAGACAATAGGTCAAAGAACTAAAAATCGTAAATCAACAATGATTTTCATTAAAGTCCATTTATTGAAGTCTTTGCATTTTAAACTCAACTAGAAGTTTCGTATTCAACAATCGTGCAATAAAGTCTGTATCAACAATAATAAATTTATAAAAATTCTAGCACAAAACAAATCATTACTAGTTTACCGGATTATGAAAGGAATATGGGTCTATATAGTAGATCTATAACTAAATTTAATGAATGGATAGATGGTATGAATTGGTCACCATATTCATTACATAAAGATAATTCTTATTTCACTTCTTTTAAGTTTCTTCTATGTGAACAAAACATCCAAACAGCATGAAAGTTATTATGGAAAGGCTGATCTAAAAGCTAGTCAGGATGTCTTATGTACATTCTTGTCCACAAACTTGAGGAAATCTGTTAGACCTTTATAGAGAAAGAACGGGTTTGGAAGGTGTACTATAGGAAGAATTTATGTAAGAAGTATTTTGTATGTGTCGGTCTAGGAGGTGTGATGGTGATAGATTTGGCCTTGTGTATAAAAGGAGGAGTAACTGAATGTGATAGTTATAACTTCATGTAGATGTTTTCCATGTAGCTGACTATTATAAATAGTCAGGGTTTTGTTTTTGGGAGGTTAGCTTGTTTTCTAGAAAGGAAAGGAGGAGTGGGAGAATAAGGTCCTCTCAAAAGAACCTCAATTGTTGTACTCTGTTACTGTTTTCTACCACATTGGCAGAAACAGTCTTGTTAGTAATAAAATCATTCAAGAGTCTGTCTTGAATATTTCTGTAAGTTCTATTTGCCCTATCAATTGGATCAGAGCTCCCTTCTTGGTCCTGTGGTCACTATGTTGAACGTGCATGGTTAACTCCATAATGGAGTTCAAATTCGAAAGCTTCGAACGCATGATTCAAGAAGATAGACGTGATAGGCTAAAAGCGGAAAATGAGCAAATGGAATGTTTTCAAAGAATGGAGAATTTGATCAGTGGATTATCAGGAGTGGCAGAAAAGATCACCTGCAACCCACATCTGGGTCTTCTAATAATGACTTTTCAGCCCAAAAGTCTGTTGAAAAAGATCAAGGCGGCAAACCATATGGAGGCTCAAGGTGGCGCAAACTGGACTAATAGATTGGACAAATATTTCCGTTTGCAAGAAGTCTCTATTGAAAGAATGCAAGTAGTGATGGTGGCTTTGGAAGGAAAAGCTTTAGTGGTGCAACATTTTCAGCCAAATATGTTGAGAAATCCCTTCTAGGTTTTGCTGGCATTAAATCAAATAGGAAATGTAGAAGATTATATTGTACAATTCGAGCAATATGCAGGTCTGTTAAAAGGAATGTGTTGAATATAGTGAAAATTATATATGGGATTAATCTCCCTTGTGTTAAACACACATAAGGTTCTCTATTTATAATAGAATAGAAATAAGAAATAATAACAAACTAACTGAAAGATAAAAGAAGAAATATGGGCTAAGCCCAAAATACAAATAAGAAATAATAACAAACTAACTGAAAGATAAAAGATAAAGATAAAAGATAAAGATAAAAGATAAAGATAAAAGATATAATATTTCTAACACTCCCCCTCAAGCTGGAGCATACAAATTGTATGAACCAAGCTTGAAATAATTGAACTTGATTTTGAACTAGATGATTTGTCTTCAAGAGTGTGAGGCAAGCAGAGATGGTTTATCACATCTCAATGAACAAACAGCAGTGGAGAAGGAGGCAATAAACACTTCAACTTCAAAAGTGGATGAAGGAGAGCAGCGGAAAAGGAGGCAATAAACACTTCAACTTCAGAAGTGGATGAAGGAGAGCAACGGAAAAGGAGGCAATAAACGCAGCAGATCTGTGCGGCAGATACCATAAGAAAGGAAGAACAAGGCAAGAACAGCAATATAGAGGCGAAACCCTCTACTACAGAGGCGAAACCCTCTACTACAGAGGCGAAACCCTCTACTACAGAGGCGAAACCCTCTACTACAGAGGCGAAACCCTCTACTACAGAGGCGAAACCCTCTACTACAGAGGCGAAACCCTCTACTACAGAGGCGAAACCCTCTACTACAGAGGCGAAACCCTCTACTACAGAGGCGAAACCCTCTACTACAGAGGCGAAACCCTCTACTACAGAGGCGAAACCCTCTACTACAGAGGCGAAACCCTCTACTACAGAGGCGAAACCCTCTACTACAGAGGCGAAACCCTCTACTACAGAGGCGAAACCCTCTACTACAGAGGCGAAACCCTCTACTACAGAGGCGAAACCCTCTACTACAGAGGCGAAACCCTCTACTACAGAGGCGAAACCCTCTACTACAGAGGCGAAACCCTCTACTACAGAGGCGAAACCCTCTACTACAGAGGCGAAACCCTCTACTACAGAGGCGAAACCCTCTACTACANGTTAAACACACATAAGGTTCTCTATTTATAATAGAATAGAAATAAGAAATAATAACAAACTAACTGAAAGATAAAAGAAGAAATATGGGCTAAGCCTAAAATACAAATAAGAAATAATAACAAACTAACTGAACGATAAAAGATATAATATTTCTAACAGAATGGATCAAGATTATCTCATTGGGATATTCTTGATTTTAGTTGTTGACACTCTCCTAAGGTCTACAAATGTCATGTATGAACTAAATCCATTCCACTAACTGCACAATAAGTAACATCTCGACATTTATCAAGGATCAACATGGTGAACAATAACTGTGATACATATTTTACTATATTGGCCTATACCCATCTATATGGAATGCAATGTACACTCTATATAATCCGTTGCTTTTTGTACTTGTCACACAAATGATTCCATCATATGACTATCTATCATTTATTTCTACAATAATTAAACTGGAAAGAGATAGATCAAGAATTTTACCAGATTCCATGCTCTATTTATAGCCAATTTGTACCATCAAATGACGATAATATCGTCCACGTATTATTCTATGCCACATGAAATGAATCAAATTGTGGGTATTCAGCTGCATCCGCTGCTGTACAAGCCTACAATCAAACATCATTTAAATAAGTATTTCAACCCATTCCAGTCTATTATCAGCACATTGAAACTTGAAAAAAAAAATCACTTACCATCTCACTAGACACCTTTGAATTCCCTTAGATATGGGACGAATGAATGGCGGATCCCGTTGAGCATAAAACAGTCCCACCTTCAAAAATATACAAAGGGAGGGGGATAAGGCAGTGGAATTTACTCATACGACGTTTCTTTGAAGATGCAGATATTAAATTTAAAAATATATGACATAATTACAAATACTAAAACCATGTCTTTGTAATAAAAAATATCAACAACATATTTGAATTACTCTAGGCTCATATCTTAATTATTAGAGATTATCAAATATCATGCATTAATTGTATTGATCTCTTTCTCTCAATATAAATACTCACACTATCACAAAGGTGTGATTTCAGTTCAATGTTTTTCTTCACTTATAGTTTAGCATGGTATCTAAAGCCTCTTGAAAATTGTGTCGGCCACACTATCACAAAGGTGTGATTTCAATTCAATGTTTTTCTTCTCTTATAAGCATAGTATCTAAAGCCTCTTGAAAATTGTGTCAGCCTAGTGGATCCATGGTTGTCAAACTCAGCGTTAACTCGTGCAAGTTTATGTTTTTATATAGAGATTTCGAGTTAATTCAAAAGTAAACTCGCTTTTGACCTAAACTTAGTAGAATCGATGGTGAACTCAATGAATTTACTCAAACTCGCGAGTTTGCCATCTGAGTTGGCAAGTTCAGATGAGAAATTTTTCAAACCCCCAAACAGTAGCCATCATAGTCATTTTGTGTGCAAAAGTGAAGAACGCTAACTACTTAACCACGAGCGATCCTTTTCTTACTGCACCGCCTTTCGCCAGTCGCTGCTCCATCACTTGCCCACCGCACCCTTGTTTGCTCTTTGCTCGTCAAACCTCTGTTCACTCATTGCGTTGTCTTTCGCTTGCCGCACCACCGTTCTTCCACAACTAAGTTTTTGCGACTTGCAGTACTCTTCTCCATTTCAAAAGCTTGGATCATGTGGGAGGAAAGTCTGGTGGATGGTTTGCTACTTTTAGGATAGAAGAAATGAGAGATAATATATTATATTATTTATAAAATTATTTTTTAATCGATTTTTATAATTAGGAATTAGGTTTTAATTTTACTTTTTAGTTTTGTATTTGAGAATTTAAATTACAGATTAATTTAAAGTATGTCTGGGAATAGATTAAATTAAATCGTAAGCAATCCAAGAGATCAAATTATCACCAATGGAGACACAATAGAAATGATATAATGGACGGCATGCCTCCCCCTTCCCCAATACAATCTTTTATACTAGATCTGATCTAATCTTTTGAAATTAACGGATCTATTGTTTAAAACTGTTCTACCCATAACCCTTCCCACACTAAGTAACCTAAGATATCATCGTCTTTCCTTCATACATTACACATGTTTGTCCTCTGTCTCGTTTATCTCTATTCCTAAGTCTCTTGCTGCATGGAGATCTTGATGAGGAAGTATACACAGCACAACTTCCTAGATTTGTTGCTCAAAGGGGATGTTTGATAAGGTGTGTCATCTTCATCGGCTCTAAAACAATATCTTGCTTAATTGTTCCAGACAAAAGACATTGATAAACAATGGTAATTCCTAGGCATCAAAGTTGCTAACTCCAAGGGTGGTTTGGTGACATCACATAGGAAATATACTTTGAATATTTTAGAAGAAATAGGAATCCTACACCGGTAGACCGCCAGGATCCAAGTATCAAACTTGTACCACATAAAGAAGAGTCAAACTCAGATCCTAAGATACAAATGGTTAGTTGGTAAGCTGCGCTATCTCGCTATGACCCATCGTAATATTCTGCAGTTAGTTTAACAAGCGAGTTGAGGACATATGACTTATATGCTCCAATGAGAGGAAATGTTATAATTACAAAATATCAAGACCATATCATTATAACCCGAAATATCAAACATCATTCTATATTATTCTATGATCATATCGTAGATGATATCAAATATCTTTTATTTATTGTATTGATCTCTTTTCCCAATCATAAATAAAACACCCATATTGTCACAGAAACACAACTTCAACTCAATGTTTATCTTTTTCTTATAGTTTGACAATATATTTTAAGGAATTTAGGTCAGGTTGTCATTGAGATATTCAGTAGTAAAAAGCTCAATAATTCACCTACGCTTGTACTTGATGGTTTTTGAATTTTGAAATTAAATTTTTACCATAGTAAACAACCTTTCACAAAAACAAGAAATAAAATTATCAAAGCATGCCCTTTCAAAAATAACTACTAATGATCATCTACATCTCAAAACTTCAAATTGAATAAGCTAGTAATATAAAAATTGACAAGGAAGATCCTAAAAGGCCAATGGCTTTTATTAAATTAACATACCTGTAACAAAGCAGCCATAGATGGATCATCAAAGATTTCTTCACTATAATCAATTCGGTAATTGACCTGCTTGAAGACAAGGATCAACACTACTGAACAGATTCCAACCACATCTTTACATAGTTGATAAATAAACAAAACAGCAATACCTTCTTGTAATATAAATATCTAAGCACAATACCAATGTTATCAAAAGTGAGTCCTTCATTGACCCGGTGATACAACATGATATTTACAACAAAACCTAATCCAAATGCCTAATATATAGCATCAAACTTTGGGTTATTAATTATGAAAGACAACCAAAAAACAATGTTATTGTTTTACTTAATCTTTAATTAATATCTCTCTTACAATTCATATCAACCCTAGATAATGACATGGAGCAATTGACCAGAGCTGAGATAGCAAATATAGTCGATAGTGGAATGATAAGAATCTGACTGAATATTAGAAAATATTCTTTCCTGTAAAGCTTATTCTAAAAAACAAAAAGAAAGAAGTCCTAATTATAACAAATCCTAATATTAAATGGACAAAATCAAATTGTATAACTATTCATTCCCATGCATCAAATCCATGGTTCTGATAGCTTTTCTTAATTATCAACAAGAGTAAACAAGGAACAAAAAGGGAAAACAAGTCAAGGGAAAAAAAGAATAAGAAACTTGTTATAATAGATTGTGCAAATAAAGTGAAAGTGTAACAACAAATTTTGTGGTTCAGCTTTGAGCTTACCTCCACATGCAAATAACAATCGCCTTATGCACAATAATAAAATATATATTATGCATACTACAGAAGAGTCACACTTCACTCCACATACGTCTGTTTTTTAATACCAGTTTATAAACTCAAAATCACTAATAAACGAGGAGTTTTATTGCTGACAAACTTCTCGAACCAATGCTTCCGTAACATTACAAAGATAATTTATTATTATACATGACTTGGAGGAGGCTTGAATTTTAAGCCAGAAGTTCTACCCTAACCATCCAAAAAACTATACAAGGATATTATAGTCCTACTACCATTTGTTATCAACCTATGTCAGCAATCATATTTTATTACTTCCATATTAAGCACACTATAATAAAAAGTGTATAATGGAAATATCCCTAAATCATAAGAATCTAATTATACACTTGAATCGAAGGGATATGCTAATATTCCTGAATCATCGAAATCTGATTACATTAAGTGCTGATATATTTCCTAAATTAGTAATCCCATCTTGTGTGTGTGTGTATTTCAAAAAGAAAATCCGATATTATTCATAGAGGAGCAATTGCTCTTAAATAGATTACATAGGCATAACAATTGAAAATCCTAATTTACAATGGATATAATTTATCCTTATAATTGAGGATCAAAGATCTTGTACAATAAATATAAAATACACTGTCAGCCTATTAATCCTACTAATTTTGAAATGTAATTAATATCCTAATTATGAAATTAAAATTGTACAAGAAAATACTAATTACAGCAAAAATCAAGGGATTTTGACACCCCCGTCAAGTTGGTGAGTGGATGTCATCCATTCCAATTTACCAACAGTAGACCGAGTTGTGCACCGGTTATCCCTTTTGTCAATACATTTGCATGTTGACTTCCAGAGGATACAAATGGTGTACATACTGTCGCATTATCCAATTTCCCCTTTAACAAGTGTCTATCTTCTTCAACATGCTTAGTTCTATCATATTATACAAGAGTATGCACAATATTTATTGTTGACTTGTTATCACAATACATTCTCATCGGCTTCCTCCATTGAATTTTTTTTTAAAACTCTTCCAATCAATCTTCAGATATTCTAAAGTTATCTTTCTCAAGTTTAGAAGAAAATAATTTCTCTCTTATTCAGTCTCATTACATGCATCTCATACATATACATACATTAATTGGATAAATTTGGACATAAGTACTGCCTAATCTAGAAAACAAATCGCTAAGAAATTGGGATTGATATGCTATTAATAAAATCAAGATACAACCAATATACATAATTAAAAACAATAGGAATCAAATCTAAAACTTCCTAAAATATCTCAATCTTTAACCATAGTAATTCACAAATCACTGCCATGGCTTCAAACTCTGACTCTGTACTTGATTCGTTTCTTCCTCCTTTAGGTGACTAAATTTCCTCCACGAAAAGTTTAATATCTGAAGGTATACCTCCTGTCGTCCATTGAACTACATAGTCAGTGTCTATGTATGCTTCTAAGATCATTTCATTCCCCACTGTAAATAGAATTCCTTTTCCAAGAGTTCCTTTCAAGTATCGCAGAATGCGATAAATTGCTCTGAGATGAGTCTCTTTAGGATTATGCATGAACAGACTTACAAACTTTACAGCATAGGCAATGTCAAACCTAGAGTGAGACAAGTAGATCAACTTCACGACAAGCCTTTGATAAGATTGCCTACCCATAGCTACATCTTCAATTGATTCACACCAAGTTTGTGATTCCGTTCAACAAGTGTCTCTACTGGTTTGTATTCTAACTTAACCAGTTTCATGAAGTCAAACCTAGGAAAGGGGCTAATGCTTATGAAAAAAGACACTTCGATCCTGAAAATAGATACTAATGCAGACAATGCAGGATTTGTCATTGACGAACCAAACCTACCTCAGGATATTGTATATTTCTTGGAAGAAAGCAAAACAAAGGATAGAGTAGATCACATTCTAATACAGAAGCTAAATTATGAGTCCTAGCTCAAGGTGTGTGAAAAACTCTAGGTGAAACTTATACTACATGGTCTCAACATAAAAACGAACATTCATATGTCATTATACTGTGATAACAAGTCAGCCATGAAAATAATCCATAATCTACTGCAACATGATAAGACAAAACATTAAAATTGACAAGTACTTCACTGAAGATAATCTTGATAAAGGTCTTATGGCTACTCTTAAAGTGAAATTTAAATTCAACCTCAAAATCAAATTAAACGTGAGGTTAGTACTCACTTATATATTATAATTTGGTCATACTTTTATCTTTAACACACTCCCTCACATCGAGGATTGAACATCTAAAGTGTAGGACTAGGATAGAATCTGATAGCAGGTGACATAATAGACCTAAAAAACATGAGCACAATAAGCTCTAAATGGCTCTGATACCATTTTAAGAAAGTGAAATTTAAGTTTAACTCTATTTGAAAACCAACTTGAAATGTTAGGTTTACAACCACTTATATTATATAATTTGGTTATATCTTTAATCAATATGGAATCTCCAATAATTACAACCATGAACTTGCAAGACTTCAAATAGCAAACATTTCACTAAGGGGCTTCAGAACAAATTACATGATCTTGTAGACAAGTTGGGAATCATAAATATTAGTTTACCAACTTGAGAAAGAATGTTGTAAATAGCATATTATTAGGATAAATATCTACAATATCTCCACACTTAGAAGAAAATATCTTTAGAATCTATAATTTCAGCATATTTTTTTTCCCTTATTTGCAAGTGTTTGATTGTAACAAATAAAGGTGATGAGAATGTAATTGGTGTCATTGTTATCTATAAAATGATTTTTTTATTTTGTTACACAACTCAAGTATTATTATCCGAGACAACTAAAAAGAAGGCTCAACATAAAAAAAGACTCGTTTTGAAATGCTTTCATATCTCGCACCATGGAGAAGGTTCTTGTTCATAGAAGATCTAATGTGCACGGCAAGTGCCACAACAGAAATGGCAGAAGACACCATATCCTTCAAAATAGCAGATGGCAATGACCAGAAAAAACGGCCATGCTATACTGTTATGGTGCCTGCCATAATACTTATCTGATGATACTTCCGTACAAGCTTTCATATCTACTACAAGAATCATCCAACAGGGAATTAAACATAAGCTAATCACCAACATTGGTACAAAACGTAATTTGACAAAATGATATTCTAAGAATATACCTCTTCTCATCCGGTCCTTGCTTATAAGACATGACAATAATTATAATAAATTGTAGGTACGTAAGAACTCACTTTTCACATTTATTACATGTCGCAAGTAGGATAGTATAGACTAAAAATTATAATAATTTGTAGGTACGTAAGAAATCACTTTTCACATTTATTACATGTAGCAAGTAGGATAGTATAGCCTAAAAATCACCTTCAACAAACAAAAGCTCAAAAAATAGCGACATTATCCCAGAATTTTGAATTCTATGTTAGGAAATACTATGTAACTTGGCATCTTAGCTTTCCTGACACCACAAAGGACATCTATCATTTGTAATCACATGAAAATTTATTAAACAAAAAGAAAAACGAAGAAACAAAAAACATGGGATCATTCCATGCATTGTGTTTCCGTATGCATGTTCTTATGTTTTATATAACTTTGCTCCAGTGTCATTCATTTTTCAAAAAAAACTATAGTCACATCAGAGCCAAAACATAATTTGATGAAAGATAAGAAAGTTTACCGCAAATCCTGTATTAGCAAAAGACTGAACAAAATCCATTAATTGAAGCTTTGCCCATTCCTTGTGCAACATAGGGTCATCAATATGTGGGGGGTGCCTCCAAGCTGCACCAAAACGTAATCTGTCTTCTGAAATTTTTCCATTGTGTACATCAACTGCAAATTTTTGCAACAACTCCAAAGCTCTATTCATAGCAGGATTCACAACAGTAATCTGAATGAAGAGAATAATACATGTCATTAATCAATGAATACAGAAGACAGAAGACCAACAAAATTAATTGAAGTCAACTAGAAACAAAAAGAAAATAAAATGACACCTTATATTTTCAAAAAAAAGCAGTCCACAAATTCAACCTCCAGAAAAACAAGAAAAACTTACAAATATTCCCTCTTTTATTTTAATTCATCATATTTTTCCTAATTCAATTTTTTTATTATTTGTAAATAAATTAGAGTAAGTTTGAAACGATCATGTGAAATTTTATTAAACTGTAAAACTGAATTGATTACACACAGAGCAGGATCCATTGAGATTAGATATTTTAGGAAGATTTAGATTTTATTCTGTCAAGATACTTTAGGAAGTTTCAGATTTTATTCTTATTTGTTTTAATTTTGTATATTGGTTGTGTCTTGGTCTTATTACTAGCAAACCAATCCCACAATCTCAAGGATTTGTTTTCTAGAATAGGTTGTGCTTGTTTCTTAAATTATTCAATCAATGTATGTATATATATCATGTATGTAATGAGACTGAAAAAGAGAGAAAATATTTTCTTCTAATTTTGAGATGGAAACAAGCCATGGATTTGGAAATGGAGGCAATAGAGAAGAGCAATACTTGGAAAACCTGTTGGGAATTATCAAACTCACGAGTTGTGTGGCAAACTGGTATAAGTCTGCAAGTTAGGTTACAGTTCACGAGTTGACTCGTTCACAAAGTCGTTTTCAGTAGTCTTAGAGAATTGGAACAGAGGGAAGAGAGAAAATAATGATGAACAAATGTGTATAATTCACATTCTTACTCAATCACAAGTATACTGACTTATTTATATGTGTCAGTTACTGACAGTTGTACAAGAAAAGGGAAAACAATATTATAATTTGTACAAATACAAAGAAAACACCATAGTATATAAATTATTAACTATTTAACAATAGTATACTAACATTAACAGCCCCCTCAAACTCAAGGAGAAGAATTTTCTTGTGAAACATTCTTCACATTGAGTTTGGCACGAAAAGCAAAACGAGTTGAAGGAAGAGCATTTGCCCATTGATCAAGAGTTGGAATGTGAACAATGCACAATTGCTGGGCCAAAATTTTTTCCCACACAAAAACTACATAAATTTCCATATATTTTGTGCGATTATGGAAAACAGGATTATGAGCAATAAAAACAGCACTCTGATTATCACAACAGAGTAGGAACTGTGTAAGAGACATGAAGTTATATGAGCAGTTTTGAAATCCAAGATAGCACTGCAGCAGGGTGAGCTAGGCTTCAATATTCAGCTATAGTGCTAGAACGTGCAATAACTTGTTTTCTAGACCACCACGAGACTAGATTAGGGCCCAAGAAATGGTTGAACCAAAAATAGACCGTCTATCATCAAAGTCAGATGCTCAATCAGCATCACAAAAAGCTGCTAAAGATACAAGGCTGATGCAGGAAAGCAGGTTTAAAATGAAGACCATGAAACAGAGTCCCTTTGAGATACCTTATGATGCGCTTAACTACTCCCCAATGAGAATCAAGAGGATTGGCCATAAACTGGAGGACTTTATTAACAGAAAAACTTATTTCTGGTCTGGTTACAGTAGCATACTGCAAAGCATCTACAACAGATCTGTACAGTAGGATCTAAAAAACATCAGCACCATGTTTGGACAATTTACGATTAGAAACCAGAGGAGAAGATATAGCATGAGCTTTAGCCACGTGAGTTTTATGAAGAAGATCACGAATATACTTGGTCTGAGACATAAGGATGGAGTTATCAGATAAGTATTTGACCTCAATCAAGACCAAGAAAATAATCCAAGTGAACAAATTGTTTCAAAGGAAAAGTGGCATGAAGCTGTGCAGTAATATGCTTTATGAGACTAAGAGAACTCCCAGTGATAAGAATATCATCAACATAAACCAGAAAGTAAATCATCTCAGAACCCTTTTTATAGATGAACAATGAAGCGTCACATGTACTAGGAATAAACCCAAGTTGACGAAGTGCAGTTTCAAGGCAAGTGAACCACCTTGTTTAACTAGCAGACTGATGATTTATCAGATGCTTCAAATCTAGGAGGCCGCTGCATAAAAACTGTCTCATTCAGAAATCCATTTAAAAACGTATCAGTTGAATTTGTCAGACAAAGGATAGAGCAACAGTGAGAACAATTTAGATTGTTACTGGTTTAATCACTGGAGAAAAAGTTTCATGGAAGTAAAAACCATGAACTTGATGAACCCCTTAGCTACAAGTCGTGCTTTATACTTGTTTATAGAACCATCAGCATTTTCCTTGACTCTAAACACCCATTTACAGCCAACTGTTTTTCTATTAGATGGTAAGGGAACAAGATCCCAAGTTCTTTGACTGATTAAAGCATCATATTCTTGTTGCATTGCAGCCTGCCAGTTTTTAACCTTAGTGCTTGTTTCACACTAGTTGGTTCAGAATGCGACAGCAGCAGAGATGGATGAATCTGATGTTGAAAAATAACACAGATTTGGACTTAGTTTGCATTGGATGAGTGTTTAGAACAGGTCCAGGTGCAGGATCTGATACAAAGGGCGTTGAATCATTTAAAACAGAAACTGAAGGGGAATCATGAGGAGATGATTCGTTATGAGATAAAATGGAAGTAATGGACACAGGACTGGTAGGCTGTATAAGAAACGACAGATTTGGAAATAAAGTAAAATATTGATCAACATTTTTTATAGTATCTGGAGACTGATGAAACAGATCAGAATAAGGAAAACGATCATCATCAAATAAAACATCCTTTGATATAAATACATAACCATTAGAAGACAAACATTTACAACCTTGATGAAATTGAGAGTAGCCTAAGAAAAAACATTCTTCACTTTGAAAATCAAGTTTGAGTGTGATCTGGTCGCAAGAAAGGAAAACAGGTACATTGAAAGGTTTTGAGAAACTGAAAATCTAGAGATTTATTGAACAACACAGAATATGATATAAAATGCTATAAAATGCTTAAGCCCTTTAAATTTGAAAATGCTATAAAATGAAAGTTCACCTTTTATTCTACTTCCATATATCAAAAAGTGATAGAAAGGAAAAGATATCTTTCATATATCCACCCACCTTGTCTACTTTTGTCAAAATGATGGAATCTGTAATTTATCTCTTCATAGGAGAAATTTTCCCATGCTATTGCATTACCGTAATGGTGGCAAAATTAATGCAATTTACAAAATTATACAATGCCTTTTATGAGGGTTTCCTTGAATAATCCGAAAAATATATCATATAAAGACATCTCTTTGAAAGACGATATATTTCATGCCCAATTTTGAACTTACTTGCAAATAGGCTATGTATGCATCTACAATGTCCTCGAAAGTATTAGTAGTGTCTTTTGTTTGTCTACAATTAAGCAAAAGCATGAACTAGTAAGACATTCAGTTCCATTGACGTGTAACAATGGCACAAAACTTATGATAATATAAAACACCTGCAGACAATGGTCAAAAGAGTAATATTGCTTATAATAGTTTTTTATAACTGTATATAATTCAAAAAAGAAATGCTTACTTCAGATGATAATTGCTTTGTTTAAGTGCATAAAGTTCAAATAGATGTCGAGGATTTGGCCCAAGTACCTCAGCGATCACGTTCCACTGAATTTAAGAAATATTAATTAAAACTTGCAATGATTACTTGGAACTAAAATAAGAATTTAAACAATAAAAAAAAATCATCTAATGGTTGAAATATTCCTACTTCTGAAAGACTAAAATAGTCAGTGACGACGTGCATTTTGGCTTCTTGTGGAGTCCATCCAAAGGTCTGCAAGAAAAAGTTGTTCAATAAAAAATATGTACTAAAACATATGAAAAAGAACGTATACACAAACTATAAGGATAGCATAAAACCACCTCGACTTCATCATAACCAAATTGGAGGAGGAAGCAATATAATAATTAAAACAAAATCTTTTTCTCAATAGGTGGAGTCAACTACATGAATCATTTGATGCCATAATATATCTTCGAAAGTGAATTTAGGCCTAACTCAACCCTGTACCGCTGACTTGCAAAGTGTAATGACCATGGGAAGAGTTGACAGTAGAGTAGACGAGTTGGTGGTGGACACTGGGTGCAAATACACATAGTAGAAGGTATGTGTACTTGCATTGGGTAGAAAAGGTGGTGTTTTGTGGTGCCACTGCAAAACGAAAGATTAAAAAAATTGATAGGTTTCTGAGTATGAAACCTATCTAAACACCACGAACACACACCAAACAACAAGAAAGATAGCAAAACTGAGTATTTCTGTATTAATCTCTTCAGTCTGTACAACCCAAAACCTCCAAGGGAGCCTAATTCCCCCTCCACAGGGTAAAAGAATCATGTCTATACAAATGAATTCAAAACTAACTTTGTACAAAGATACATCAGCTCTTTATATGAGCTCTTTTCCCCGCCCCCCTAACTGTTATTACAGTTAGACCTCATTAACTTGGCTCTCCTCCTCTCATTAACTCTTCTTTTTCTCTCATAGACTATCCATATCCTATCAAAAATAGTGACTCACCCTATGTTGTAAGTGTGGAAAACTGCCACTTGACACACTAAAAGATCAAAAAAATTTGCCGCTCCTCCTTGACCAAAATGTATCCACACTGCCGATCCTCCTTCTCTAAAACAGTCTCATTCTCACTCTTCCTTCAGCTATTTATTGTTTTGATACTGTTTTGTAACTTGGAAGGACTTACTCCTACCTATATAGATAGGATGTTATGTTCGTACCTAATGATGTACTCTTTTATTTCATATATTATGAATTTTGAGTGACAATCAATTTTGTAGGATCTTGCAATCCCCGTTACGATCTTCCAATTTACAATTTATATTTTCCTTTCCGATCTTGAGTAAGATCTCGATTTTGATTACCTTGGAGACAACCACAACAACGCAGTGGGCGAACAGTGGTGCAGAGAACGAACAGACATGCAGGATGCAGAAGGGAAACCCTAATCTTCTAATCAGGGTGAGTTTTTCACTTTCACACACCAAACAAAGGTGGTGGCTGCTGTTTTGGGCTTTAAAAAATTTCTCTTTGAACTCACCAACTTGGTTGCAAACTTGCTAGCTTAGGCAAGTTCACCGAGTTCACTCATGATTCTACCAAGTTTGCAACAAAAGCGAGTTTGTTTCTATGTTAACTTGAAAGTTGTATAGAAATGTAAACTCGTCCGAGTTAATGAGTTAACTCGCGAGTTTGACAACCATACACTTGAGTTTAACCCAAAGATTATAGATTACAAATAGATCTAGTACAAAATAGTTTTTTCTTAAACTACTCTAACAAAAGTCATGATTATTATGAAGATGATTTGAGAAACACCAACAAAAAGACAGGCCTTCACCTCTTCATTTCTTCTTTTCTATCCTTGTGATCTTTTATCTGTGTCATGGTAGGGATAAGCTTTTTTAGTAGCTAAATAACATTAAACATTATGGAAACCCAAATATACCATCACAAAAAATTAAAAAGTGATGGGTAGTTTCAAGATTTCAAGCAAGAGTTGACGACAAATCCTAAATCACGCCAAGAGCACAATTGCAACAATGCCTTGCAACACCTCCAATCACAAATGCTCCAACCATGATTCAAAATTGCAACGCGTAAACATGTTTTCATGCCTCACCACCACAATAGCAGCCTTTTGGCAACTGTAGATAACATTGATTCACATATTGTGTTTTACCCTCAACTTTCCTTCCTAGGAAACTTAACCTCAAAAGGTAGCATAGTGTATCTTACCTTGTCATCAGTCACATTTTTCCTTAGAAAGGAAGGTAGACATCTATACAATTCAATTGTAGACTAATCCTATATTCCATATTTCATGCTTAATTCAGAGGAATCAGCATGTTCGTCCATGTATCTTAACCTAAATATATACACAAATTCTCATAATGATTTGTTTGTATTGGTTTGTGTAGAAAGAAAGAGCGGAGGAGGAAAACATTGGCTATTCAAGTACCTCACGTGAGATAAATATCTGCATATATCCAAACTCCAAGAAAGCTTCATATGAGTAGTAACTGGGGCAAATAACAAGGTATTGGAATTAGTATTAGAAAGAATACAAAGGTAAAATAAATGTAGAAAGGGCAGCACCAAATATTAAATTAGCCCAAGTCTTTCATAAGTATGAAAGAATTCAGAATACATGAATATGTATAACATGAAAGTCAACCTAGCCCCAAGACCATGAAAAAGCATTTAGTCATTGTTATAGGAATTTTATGCAGCAACAGCAGTTTTTTTTTGGAGGTTATGTTGCTGAAATTGTGCAGCATAAATACATATACATACAACCACTCTTTTTTACTACGTGGTTGTTATTAATTGTATATTTGCATGTTTATATTTCTTGTATTTAAAGTATGTGTTACATTTTTAATGTTCATGAATCTAATGATTCACTATACAGTTCAAAATATAAGTTCTCCCATACAGAACTTGTATCTCGATTAACTACTATGTTTTGTCACTGATCCTTTCAACATACACAGATAGTTCCCCTGCAGTCAAAAGTTGATACGTATAATAAAAAGGTTCCAGTGCCTTCAATTCAAAAAAGTAATTATGAGAAAATTTGGCAACCACAAGATTCCGAAGTAAAAAGAATAAGCAGTGTTAGCTGGAAAAAAATAAAACCAAAATCCAACCACTATGTAAGAACTTTGTATGGTAAACTGCGACAAAAATGAGAAGAAAAGAAACAAAGTTTAACATAAGAAAATCACCTATCAGATGTCACCAGGATAACAGGCAGACAGCGCTCGTTTGCACCCAAAGCAATTATTCTCCATATTAGACTATCATGATATAGGGGTCCACTGACTGATAACTTGTTATTTACCGTGGCGTGCTTTAAAACTTCAATATTGTTAATAACCAGCTTTGGCTGCAATTACTTGAATATATCATCAGTTTGAACACCTCATGTCACTAACACACTATACAAAAAGAAAGAAAAAAGCAATCCAACATGACTTCGTAGCATAGATAAATAAGCATACAATCTTACAAAAATCAGTCATTTCTGGATGTATATTAGCACGAAATGCATCTTTATTATTGTCAATTTAATTCAAGGTTTATAATTATGGTCCAAAACCACAACTACAGCTACAAAATCATGGTTGGAGGTCTCCCCAACTGCAACTGAGAAAACACCAGCCACGATTGCCCGAAATGACTAGAATGGAATTCATGAGTGTAATTCAAAACCTTGATTAAATTGAGTAATTTGCAAAACAAACCAATAATGTACCTGAAAATGATCAATTTCAGCAGCTTGTGACAACAACTCTAACAACAAGCAAGGCCAATCAGTACAAGAATGTGTCAAAGTCCTGGAGAACACACCGGTGTGATTCATATGAGAAATGGCATTGGCCTTCCACCCTTGCTGAAGCTCGATCACCTTCTTCGCCAGCTTTAGTGCCGCGATTGATTCCTTCATGTAAGAAGCCTCCTCAAAGGACAAGCCATTCTTCTTCTCTCCAAATCCCAAAATCCTACCAACCTCCGCACCGGTGCATTGCCCAGACATGGCCAATACGGCCCGATCCCATAGCACGGCAGGGGACGCCCTGTCCGAAGCACGGGACTTGCTCTGCAGCACCTGGCGGAGCGCGGTGGTGAGGCCGTGCCATTTGTTGAGGGTAGTGAATATTTGTTGGGAGCTTATGGAGCCTGCGCGGACACCCTTCTCGGCCATGGATTCCAGGCAATGCTCGAGGATTTTGCGGCAGTCGGAGAGGAGTGGCGGCGGGCAGGTGGACCAGGAAGCCCACGGACCGTGTGATGGGCCATGGTCAACTTTCATTTGCTCCGCGAAGTCGACGTAACCGGTGAGATGAGGGCCTTTATTCCAGTCGGGTAGTAAACCTGAGAAAAAGAAGGGAGAAACGTGAAATGCGTCTTAGAGGGAGAGAACTTAGAGAGAGAGAGTGGGAGAGGGAGTGACAAAGGCACGTTGAAGAATGAGGGTGGTTTTGCCGACGCCTCTGGGGCCATGAAGGAGGAGGGGTTGGGGGACACGGTGGTGCTGCGCGTGGTTGTTGAGGATGGTTTCTAAGAGGGGTCTCGGAACGATTCTCCATGCTTTCTTTGATGCCATTTTGCGCGTGTTTCTTTGCTTTGTTTTCACTGAGTCACGATACTTAAGGAACAGCTTTGTATTCAACCTAGAAAACACAAGTAGACCACATGAAGAACATTCAGCACCTACAACCTTCTATAACGCATAAACGTAATCATAAAGATCACCAATTACCGGATAACAAAGCACAATTACTCCTTCCCTGCCCAGCTTTACAGTGAACATGAGTAGTTTTGCCGCAGGTTGCATTCTCAGCAGAAAAAAAAACAAAAGTAATACACAAATGACGAGATTCAAGGTGGAGCTTTCAAAAACGAAAATGGTGAAGAAAAATAAAACCTAGATTAAGAAAAGGAAAATTAAAAGTTAGTAAAAATAATGGAACGCCAAATTAATGATATTGAGATTTGCAAAAGAAAAATTAGATGAAAACCTTACTGAAGATTCCTGAAATGTTAGAAGAGAGGGTAGGAAGAAATTAGTGAAGGTTTTGAAAACATGAAGGAGGGGAACACTAAAATATTTTGTCTCTGTTGATAAAATATTTTATATTAATGTTTCTTTTTTGTTAAATACTAAGTCTTTGTTTTTGGTTTCTTCTTTCAAGGATTTCCCTTACTTAGTTTTTGTTTTAATTGAATTTTTATTTATAAAAAATTGATTCAATTAAATTTCTTAATTAAATTGGCTAAACGGTATTAAATGTGAGATAACGTGAGATATTAACATGGTTTAATTAAAAGATGCGGCAGATAGTAGATTGATTTAGTTATTTTTAAAATAAAAAAATTTAGGATTTCATGAATCCTAATTCTTGCAATCCTTAATCAGAGATTGTTGTTGGTGTCCTTCTACATTCATGGGTTTTAGCTTTTTCTTTTACCAAGTTTTAGGTTCTTCTTATATCATGTTTTAACTTCTTTTTCTACAAGGTTTTAAGTTCTTCTTTTACTAGGTTTTAGTGTCTTCTTGTACGATGCTATTGTGGGGGTTATTCTTATGTTGTGAAATTTGTGATCCTCTATGATATTTATTTTGTTTGTTAGCATGGTGGTTGGAGTTATTGAAGTATGTCTATGACCATTTATGTTCGTCTTTCACGTGTAATGAGTGGTGGGAGAAAATCGTAGTTTATTATCGTCGTGATAGATGATGGAGGAGTTTTGATGTTTTACCTATTTGTAGTTGTGGAGAGAAATCAGTTTTGAGAAATTGCGAAAAAACTAAGAATCGAGAGAAATAATTTTGGGATTACTCTAAGTATAAGGTAACATGGAATTTATTTTATTTGTTTTATTGTTTCTGAAAATGGAATACTCAGTTCCTGTGGTTGGTGATTTTTTTGAACAAAATGGAAGTGAAGACGTTGGTTACAATGACTTCAAATGATGCACTGATGATCGGTTCAACGAAAGTGGTACCTATGTGAATTGTGAAGGAATGACGACAGTTTGGTGAACACTGAAGAAAAGGAAGTTGATAGCAAGATCATGCATAATTTGGAGAAAGCTATGTTGATTCTTTAAAAGTGGATTAAAGTGTTGATAAGGGTGGTATGTGTTTATGTATCATCAACATAATTTTAGTTTCAATGTTAATGAGATGTCGATGATACGTTGCAACTATCCTTTTATCTTTAATTAGTTAAGTTGATTTCTTTGTTGTTAAGATGTATAGTTGGCATTGTGTTGGATGGACCATTGACATTGTCTATTGTTAGTGTGTTGTTTAATGTAATACTGTTCAATGAATTGAAGAGTTGCACAAGTTCATTGGTTGTCCATTAATTTACAATGAATATGGTTGAATGAAAATGGTATAATGAAAATGGTTTAATAAAAATGGTATAATGAAAATGGTTTAATGGAAATGGTTGAATTAAAATGGTCTAATGAATATGGTTGAATGAAAAAGGTATAATCAAAACTCTTTGAATCTAACATACCCCAACCATTTTAGTACACTTGCTACTAAACTTACTACAACAAAGTAACTCCAAACGTTTAGGTCAAAAGATAAGGTATCAATTTCCCCCTCATACTTCAGTCTGTCATCATTTACAAACTTTCCCCATCATGGATAACTACCTCAAAATTCTCCTCCATCACGCACAACAAAATATAAATATTTTTACACCTATAAAATAATAATACATTGATAAAATAGAACATTTATTAAAAGTAGAACACTGAAAATGACACTACAACATAACTTTAAAAATCGAGGACAACATGCGAGACCATAGCACAATAAACACATAAAGACATATCAACATTGTGGCTTTGGAAAAACGAAAGGTATATGATGACAAAAATTACCAAAAGATAAGTTGAAAACTCCAATATAACATTTATTCAACTTCGACGCAATTCACCTTGAATTACCTTGCGACTTACCTACAACCACCTCGCCATTCCAAGCAACAATGTTTCAAAGATGAACACAAACATCTAGATGTCTTCATTGAACCCTAATTTTACTCGATCAACCCCCAATCAATCTCCAATTTAGATAATAGAACCCAAAGTGGATCAATAAACCTTAATTTCGCGTCATTAAATTCCCTTGAAACATTTCAAATTTGATTTTAATTAAATTAATAATTTTATAAAATTGTCTTAGTAAATAAATATGATAGATAAAGCATTAAGTATGTTGTTTCCTTTCTTAATTTTTATTTTCTTAAAATTATAATTCTTTTACTAAAGTTAAAGTGCATATATCTAATTTTTTAATCTTATTTTATTGTTTATTCTTAATTAATAATTAGGGTTTCTATTAATACTTGTTACATTATTATATATTTATTATAACTTGATTGTCATGAAATTCTTTCATATTTACAGGAAATAAATATATTTGAACTTATTTATTGATATTTATAATTATATTTTATATTTTAATATATGCAATTATATTTTAAAAAATAATTTTAAAGTATTTAAATTAAATAATTTTAAAATATTTTAATTATAAATCATTTTTAAATATTTAAATTAAAAATTATTTATGTTTTATTTAATATTATTTTAATTGAGAATAATTAACTACAAATATATGTTATAATAAATATGTAGTTATTTTGTTACAAAGGAATTGTAATTTTATTTTTTCATTATTTTTTTTTTTGTAAATTAGTAGAGATATATGTTCTGGTAAATCTATAGTTATTTTGTTAGGAATAAGTTACAATTTTATTCTTTAGCTATTTTCACATAAATTAGTGAGAGATTAGTAACAGATATTTTCATTCTAATAAAATTGAAATTTTATTGTAATGTATTATGTTTATTTTTTAATTATTTTTATTTTATATACTATTTTATTTTACTATCATATAAAATAAAATCTATAAAATATACTTTTATAATATTTAAAAATTCATTTAATTATTAATATTTAACTTTTATGTTTACAGATTTTTAACAAAATAGTACTAAAATAATTGTGAATAGTCTACCACCATACAGTTGATAAAATGACTTGAATAAAAAAAATGTTTGTAGCTTCAACTTTTCAAGCTTAAACAAAAGAATCTTCCTCAATCTTGCATTTGCACTTTTCCTATAAAAATATAATTACCACTTCCATCAGAAAACTTTGCTCTTATAGTAGTAGTTAGCATTTCACAAAAAATTTACAAAAAATTATATTTTTTTATTTACTCTTAGTATTACATTAGTCATTTCATTTTAAATGAAAGTTATTTGTGTTTTTCAATTGGATGGTTTAAAATACAGATTAATAATGACCCTAATTATGAAGTAATTTCTCTACTTTTAAAAGAGGAACTAATTAGTCATAAAATAGGAAAAGATTTCTCAAACAAGATATTTGTAAAACCATACATCAATATAATAACAAATAAATAATAAACCAATAAAAAAATACACATATACTGCAATTAAAATGTTATTAAAAATTTTGTGTAAAAAATAATTTTTTTTCTTAATTTTAAAGAAGAAGATGGAGTACAAAGAGAAACTTGATGCATACTTTTATATTTTGTGAACAATAGGACTATCACTAGTCTCATATCTCTGTCCAAGTCCTCTACTATTTGTCAGTTCCAGTAAATATATAAAATACATGCCAAAAAAAAAGGTGATTTGGAAGTTAAACATGTAACATTTTCTCCATTATTCATAGTCATGAATTATCAAATAGGAAACTAATACTTAAGAATGCAAGTGAGACATGGAAAAACCTCCTCCACCCATAGTTGCACCTTCTTCGCCTAGTTGAGGTCGTCGTCGACGATGTTAACTACCACTAGAGATCTCGTCAGCATCGTTGCTCCATCTTCTTCCTCTCACCTTTGCAGCTTCGACTGGCGTTGTTACAGTCAACTTTCTCTTCTCTCAATGCTTTATTCTTCTTCTTTCCATGAGGCTTAAATTTCTCCCCCCACTAATGCTACACTTGCGACTAGGGGCACCTTCAACTAGAAATACCATCGACATCACTAGCGAGTTACCGATGTTGTAGATGAACCATCGGTGTGCTATCCACGCACATCCTCTCAGTCCTCTCTGTTTTTGGATGCAATCTTGAATGATGAGAAAATAAAGAGATCAATTTTAGTGAGTTCTTTAATTTTTCTGTTTATCTATAAAAATGGTTTTGGGTTTTTGATAGTTCGAAGAGTAAGTGTGGAGGTTAGTGATGTGGGTTTTGGAAAAGGTTGCTTTATGGAAGGCATGAAGGGAAGAAAAGGATGAAGGTTGTGTATTTTTGTTGGAAGTCCCACGCCGACTAGAGATAAGACCAAATTATAATATATAAGTGGGGTGCCAACCTCACCTTACAAGCCGATTTTGTGGGGTTGAGTTAGGCTTAAAGTCCACTTCTAACATGGTATTAGAGTCATGGTTGGAGCCTATCCTACCCAGATCTATGTGGACATTCTGTTCTTCTGTTTCACCCGTTGTTGGGCCATTATCGGACCATCCATTAATTCTACTCTCATGCTCGAGATGTCTATATATCGGCGTGAAGGGGGTGTGTTGGAAGTCCCACGTCGACTAGAGATAAGACCAAATTATAATAAATAAGTGAGGTGCAAATCTCACCTTACAAGTCGGTTTTGTGGGGTTGAGTTAGGCTTAAAGTCCACCTTTAACAATTTTGTTGTGTTGTTACCTTAAAGGATAACAGAGTGTGTTGTTAAATTTGTGAAGGAGAATGTTGCATTGTTATGTGGAGTTTGTGAGTAAAGGGTAATGGAGTTATGATTTTTGTGCGTGTTGTCCGTGTGATACAGGTGTTTGGAGTATGTTTAGAGTGTGAATAATGGGATTTTCAGTGGTGGTAGATAAAGATGAAAAT